TCCCTCATTAACATCATAGAGGCAGGTTTACAACATACAGGAAAATCACACAGTACCAGGAATCATGGCCTAGCCAAATTGATACACACATTTTTTGGAGGACATAGTTCAAACCATGACAGAGACCAAGTCTCAGTAGCTCAAATAATCTAGAATAATTTTTGTCCTATAAAACACTTTAAAAAACAGGTTAGCAGGGAGCCTTGCTTCTTGTACTCATTCAGGTGTCTGTTTTTCTCAAGTCATTGTGCCACCATCCCTTATGATACTGGTGATCTGCATGATTTGAATCCGGATAGCCTCTGAAGCCAGGTTCTCCTAAGCAGGAAAGGGGAGAGAGCATTGAGAAACTGTGCCAGCCATCTTACCATCCTGGCCCAAAAGTGGTGCACAGCATTTCTAGGCACACTCCATCAGCAAAAATAGTCTCACAGTCACATCTCATTGCAAAGGACATTGGGAACTGTTATGTGGCTTGGCAGCCATGTGTCTGGCCACAAGTCTACTTCTGTGAAAGAAGGGTAAAATATTCTTGAAATAGACAATCTTCCAGTATACTTTTATTGGTATATACGTATACTCATAAGTTCAAGAAAAACCATTGCAGCTTCATGGAAAGCGGGAGAGTTTGGGCATAGGCATTCTTTCACTGCTCAGCCATGTCAGGAGGGTGAAGATTTAATAGTTTTCTGAAGGACATGTAGGGCTGATGAATTTGACATTGTTTCTGACAAGTGAGAGGAAGCAGGGAGATTAGTGAGGATTTAGATCTGGAAGCTAATGAAGATCTATACTTTGAGCTGCCTCCTTCAGGATTTGTAAAGCAATGTAGTCCAATTACTTACTCATTCTGTGCTTTATTTTCCTCATCTGTAAAACAGATAATAATTGTAACTACCTCATGGGGTTGTGAGGATTAAATAAATTTATATGGGCAACACACTGAACATTGCCTGGCACGTCCGAAGTGCCATAGAGAAGTGCTTGGCATATGATAAGGGCTATGTGAGTGTTTCTTCTCATTGTCACCATCATCACCACCACTATGACATGACTCAGTAATTTCCCTGTGTTTGGTCTCAATCAGCTCCGTATGATTTCTTCTCTGTCCTCTGCTATTTATTGTGTCTGTTTCATCTTCTCTTTCTCCTTTTAGCTGAGGAGTTTGGACTTGAAACCCCGCAATGGGAAATTTCTGAAAAGGCTGCATTTTACAGTGAGGTGGTGGATGAAGTGACAAGAGACAGTTCATGGTGTTCCATTTTGGAAGAACTGTGGCAGGATGCTGACCAGAGAAAGAGAGATCAGGAAAATAAAAATAAGCCTGCGCATCGTGGTGCTACCCTCAACAAGCAAAGATTGAATATAGAGAGAGATTGTGACTATAAGGGCACTGGAAAAATCATTCATGTGAGGCCCCACCTGGTTACTTCACAAAAACAACCTCTTAGATCCTGCTCATTTGCAAAGTCTTTGAAGCATAATGTAGAAGTAAATAGTCAAAATGAAAGTAATACCACAAAACACCTTGAAAAGAGTATTGGATCTAGTCACCTTTTAACGCATAGCTCTTCTAATAGTACCTGTAAGAATATTCAAACAGAAGAGAACTTCTGTGGAGATAATCAAAGTAGAAAAGTCCTCAGCCATAAACAAGCACTCATGCATCATCAAATTCACACTGGGGAGAAACCCAATGAATGTACTGAGTGTGGGAAATTCCTCCCCCAGAAGTCATCCCTCCTTACCCAACAGAGAATTCATAGTGTAGAAAACCTACATGAATGCAGCAAATGTGGAAAAGCCATCACTCCTAAGCCACAACACGGTGTTTATCTGTCAGTTCATACAGGTGAAATACCTTATATATGTACTGAATGTGGGAAGGTCTTCATTCAGAGGTCAGAATTCATTACACACCAGAAAACTCACACTAGAAAGAAGCCCTATAAATGCCATGAGTGTGGAAAAGCTTTTTGCCAGATGTTATCTCTCTTCAGACATCAGAGAATTCATACTAGAGAAAAACTCTATGAATGTAGTGAATGTGGGAAAGGCTTCTCCCAGAAATCAGACCTCAATATACATCGGAATATTCATACAGGAGAGAGACAGTATGCATGCAGTGAATGTGGGAAAGCCTTCTCCCAGAAGTCAACGCTTAGCATGCACCAGAGAATCCATTCAGGAGAGAAATCCTATGTGTGTATTGAATGTGGGCAAGCCTTCATCCAGAGGGCACACTTGATTATACATCAAAGAACTCACACTGGAGAGAAGCCTTATCAGTGCAGCAGCTGTGGAAAGTCCTTCATCTCCAAGTCCCGGCTCCATGCACATGATCGAATTCATACAGGTGAGAAACCTTATGAATGTAGTGACTGTGGAAAAGCCTTCTCTCAAAAGACACACCTCAATATACACCAGAAAATTCATACTGGAGAAAGACAACATGAATGCAGAGAATGTGGGAAAGCCTTCAACCAGAAATCAATACTCATCATGCACCAGAGAATTCACACTGGAGAGAAGCCTCACCAATGCAGTGACTGTGGGAAAGCCTTCATTTCCAGGGCACAACTCAGAGAGCATCAGAGAATTCATACGGGAGAGAAACCCTATGTGTGCACTGAATGTGGGAAGGCCTTCACTGGCAGGTCAAATTTCAATAGACACAAGACAACTCATACAGGAGATAAATCTTACAAATGCAGTGATTCTGAGAAACGCTTTGCCCAGAAATCAATTCTCAGTATGCATCAGAGTATTCATAAATGAGATAAACTCTGTTTCTTGAATAGAAGGAAATCTTCTCGTAAGTGTCAGATCTAATGATATTATAGAATTCATGCTTCAGAAAAAAACTCCAGGAATGCATTGAATGTGCAAACACATCACGAAGTCTCACGTTTTATGTGAAGGAAATTATTCCGAAAAGAACTTTTAAGAATACATTGAAAGAAGGGAATTGTTACTATTTTTACTATGCTTGTTAAGGATTATAAAATTCAATCCTGGCTAATATATTGGGAAAAGCCTTTGTATAGAAAGTATTACCAGGAAGATTGTTACCAGATTATTTATAGGAAAGTTTGTTTTAAATTATATTAATGATAACCCTGTTTATTGTGGAATATTAAATTTATTTTAAGTGCCAGCAACCTGAATGATATACTCTCAGTTCTGTAGTTTGCTGCAGAATTCACTGCATAACAGCAGCTGCAGGTGGGTTTTAGGCACTGATGGATGAATTGAGGAACAAAAAGCATATAATAATGCAGAAAACAAATAGCTAAATGGCAGAAGTAAGTCTATCCTTATTAGTAATTACTTTAAATACAAATAGATTAAACTCTCCACTTTAAAAAGGCAGAAATTGGCAGAATGGATGTTAAAACATGCCAAAAGGTGGAAAACCCAAGTGCACATCAACAGATGAATGGATGAAGTTCTGATAGATGTTACAACATGGATGAACCTTGAAAACATTATGCTAAGTGAAATAAGCCAGACAGAAATGGATTAATGGGTATGGAGTTTCTGTTTGAGGAGATGAAAAATTTTGGAACTGTAGTGGTGAATGCATAACATTATGAATGTAATTAATGCCACTGAATTGTACATTTAAAAATGGTAAATCTTGTTATATATATTTTATCACAAGAAAAAAATAGTTACAAAATTGTATAAGATTTTCACATTTTAATGTGTATGAATTTTACTTAAAAGAACTAAGAAAATAAAACAGAATGGGGGTGGGAAGTGGGTAGAGGTAGAGATGAAACAAGAATGTCAGAATGTTGATATTTTTTGAAACTGGGAGATGGGTACTTGGGTATTCATTATATTACTATCTTGTGTATCTTTTTAACTTTCCAAAATTAAAAGTTAAAAAAAATTTTTTTTTAATACCATTATAACTACATCGGAGAAACAGAATAGCATAATCTTTAAGTGGACAGGCTCAGGAGCCACGTTCTTGGATTTGACTCCTGGCTCTAATCTACTCTCTGCAAACTTTACTTATTTGTCCTGACTTTCTCACCTATAAAAGGAAGATTATAATATTACCTATCTTACCAGTATATTGTGAGAAGTAAATGAGCCAGTGTGTGCTAAGCACTTAGAACTGTGCATGAGAGAATAAGTGTTGATGAAATTTAGTTGGACCCCTTGTCTCTGAAACTGCCTGGGTTCCTCTTTGATGGGAGTGGACGTGAGGGGTGAGATTTTAGTCCATTGGAAGTCTTTTCTAAATAGGTGAGGATGTCTGGGATGTGCACAAACATCCTGCTCCCAGGATCCCTTCAAGGAGAATGAGGGGCCAATACAACTGGTCAGAAGCATGATCTGAGAATGTTTCTGGGAATGGAGGCTTCTCATGCCCGGTAATGTGCTGGGCTTTGGAGAGCACATCTGTTCTGTTTCTGTGTGTAATTGCTCCCTGACTAGGGGTGTAATATCAGTGACTCTCACCTGGGGAGACCAGGAATGAGGCCTGGCTTTAGACATCACTTATGTGGGGTGGGAAGGCTCAGAGGACTCTCTAAGGTGGCGAGGAGTTTTTCTGTGATATGGGAAAAATAGTATGTATAAGTCCCTAGGTGGCACAAGCAGTTTGTGATCGACTGCTAACCACTTGTCCGACAATTTGTTGTAGTGTGGTGACTTGCGTGTTGCTGGGATGCTGGAAGCTATGCCACTGATATTTCATATACCAGTAGGGTCACACATGGTGGACAGGTTTCAGTGGAGCTTCCAGACTAAGACAGACTGGAAGAAAGACCTGGTGATCTACTTCTGAAAAAAAAATTGGCCAGTGAAAACCTAATGACTATCAGTGAAACATTGTCTAATATAGTGCTGGAAGATGACCCCTCAGGTTGGAAGGCAATCAGAATATGACTGGGGAAATGCTGCTGCCTCAAAGTAGAGTCAACTTTAATGACATGGATACCATACAGCATTTCGGACCTTCATTTGCTGATGTGGCATGACTCAAACAGAGAAGAAGCAGCTGCAAAAATCCATTAGTAATCAGAACATAGAATGTACACAAACATAGCAACAAGTAAGAGGATGGTGCAGACTGGGCAAAGATTCATTCTGTTGTACATAGGGTACAATAATGAGTAGGAACCAACTCGATGGCAACTAACAACAACAGCAACTAACCTAAAGATTGGTGGTTCAAACCCACCCAGCAACGCTGTAGATGGCCCACCAAGCTTAGAGTTGGTGTGACCACAAGAGAAACAGTGCTGGGCTGTGAAACCTGATGATCTGCTTCGGTAAAGATTACAGCTAAGAAAACCTTATGGGGCAGGTCTACTCTGTAACACATGGGGTCACCATGAATTGAGTTGACTGGAGGGCAACAGGTCAGTATGCACCTAAGACCTGGAGGTGATGCCCTAACCAGTTTCAGGGAGGGGCTTGGAGGCAGTTCTGGGCAAATCTTGAACCCACAGAATAGAGACACCGGTCAGGGAGTTCCAAGACCCCCCAGAGTGTGCTCCCTTCTCGGACCTGGAGTTACCCTGTTCTACCAGCACGTGGGGACTGTGCCTGGGGGTGTCAGCTCCAGTCAGATATTCTCTCCTCACATGATCCTCCCTAAACCCCTACTTAAGGCAAGCTCTTTCTCCTCACTCCCAGAAAGCTATCATTTTCATAGCCATCCCACCTCTCTGACCTCACAATTCCTCTAGGACTGGTTCTTCCCAACTCCTTTGTTCCCTTATGCCCTGCAGTCAAAAGTGTCTCCAGTATTCTGATCTCCCTCTCAGTCTCATTTTTCTTTCCTCTCAGTACCAACCCTTGGGACAAGTCAACAAATGCCCAATGCCAGTTGAGTAATAGATGGAAGAACATGGAAGTTGGTTGGATAATTAGCTTTAGGAAATCTGAAGTTTTCAGTCGTGTGAGGATAAGTTCTCAGGTTTGTAAAAAATACTCTGTGGCTTTGGAGAAGTAAAAGGTGAATAACAGTGTAGAGAGACAAGAGGTCAAGAGTTCTGTGTTTCTAAGAAGAGATTACTTGAAGGGGTTGGCGTAAGGTGGAGAATTCTGGAAGAGTCACTCCATGGGTGCTGCTGACTGCTGGGCTGGGTTACCTCAGAAAGGAGAAGCGGGGTCAGGCAGGAGGGCTGCATGGTGAGAGCAGCACAAGACTGGGTGAGGAATGCTGGGACGGAGGTAGATTTCCCATCAACCCAACTAACTAGGAGAAGTCCTAGGTGAGAAAGTCCCTCACCTTTTTCTGTGGGGCTTGCGGGAAATGCAGGGAGGGCCTGAGTCCTGCCCACATGCCCCACACAGGCACAGGAGAACACACATTTGGGGCTGGCGACAAAGAGGATTCAGTCTTATCTTGGGCCCAGTTCCCCAATCCTCCTGCCCTGTGTGAGAGACTACAAGGAACTTGCATGGGAAGAGAAAGTCCCTAACTCTAAGTTTCTGAGATGGGAAGTTTCAGGGGGCTGATGACAGGGGAGGAAAGGTCACCCTGCTATGGGTCACTGGGCTGAGGACAGAGAACTTGCTTTACTTCCCTTGGCAGTAGGTGGGAGTTTCCGGTGAAGGGACAGTTTGGGGGCAGAAAGCTAGTCAGATCCAAATTAGACCTCAGTGGCTGGTGACTGTGGTGAACGGGCCAGGACAAAGGGGGCTCTAGTTACAAAAAGAAGACATTGTTTCTGAATGTGACAAAGATAGGGTTCCCAGGAAAGCATTCCCCAGTTAAGGGCAACCCTTGTTCTTCATCTAAGGGCATATGGAAGGAGGGAAACAAACAGAGTCTGGGATGAGAAGGTCTAGTGCAGAAGTCACCCAAGATCACTCCTGGGGTCCCCCCTCCTCCAGGCCTGGATCCTGCCTCCCTCTTCCCCACTTCTGACCTAGACACAGACATCCACATCCTGCAGACCCTGGAGTCTGGCTGCCCTGGGAACTTGACCTGCACCATACTCATGGCCTGTGAGTGGGAAAGTCCCTCACCTTTTCCTGGAAACAGACCATGCCTTTCTCCCTTGGCTCTGGACACCTTGCTTCTTGATGTTTAGCCTCTTATCTGCAACTCTTGGACTACAACACCAACTCTACGAATCCTAGAGTTGGTGTGACCACAAGAGATACAATGGTAGGCCATGAAACCTGAGTTCCTGAGGGCTGAGCCATTGAGGGAGAAGTAGTAATTTGTGCTTGGGACCTAGAGATCTGACTGGAAAAGGCTTAGTCCTACTTCTGTGCCTCAGAGGGAGGTATGAAGGGCCACTCCCTGAGCACCCCTTGAGGATGGAAATATTGACTTCCTGTCCAGATGTGCCATAAAACCAGGTCATCTGCCATCTAAGGAACTGGCCAAGGTAAAGGAGACCATCTTTAGGGCTGGGATGAGATCGGACTCTGTCGAGAGGTGAGGTGAGAACTGAGCTGTCACATGTCAAAGTGGTTGATTAAAATACCAAGCCAAAATGAAAGTAACAGTCAAGGCTGTAATCACTTACTGTGATAATATAAGCAAAAGACTAACCCAGAGAAAATGCCCACTCCCCCATGGTTCCATTTTTCCCCCATGGAACAGAGCCTGGTGAGGGTCAGGTGAATCGGCATAGATGTGGGGGATTGTTTCTGCCAAGGGGTCCCTGAACAAAAGGCTCCTGCAGTTTTATGGACCCAGGGACTGGGGAGAGGGTGAGGGGGAAGGGCTGGGAGGGGAGAAGTACTGAGTCAGAGTGGAGAAAATTGTCTTCAAGTTTCCACTGCCACCCCTGATAAGGAAATCTTGACAGAGGCACCTGAAAAAGTCCCCTGCCAAAGGCCCCTGATAAAGAGCCCTCCAATTAGAAGTGCCTGGGCTGTGAGTCCCTGGGTGGTGGAAACGGTTAAGAGCTCAGTTGCTAATTGAAAGGTTGGCAGTTCTAGTCCAACCAGAGGCACCTTGGAAGAAAGTCCTGGCAATCTACTTCTGAAAACTCAGCCATTGAAAACCCTATAGAGCAAAGTTCTACTCTAAGACACTTGAGTTTGCCATGAGTTGGAATCTACAATTGCAACTGGTTGGTTGGTTGGGCTGTGAATGTGGATATGTGAAAGAGTATTGCTGGCCAGGGGAGACTGAGTTATTGACTGGAACTCCCTTCAGAGACTGCAATGCACTGGCTATCTACGAAGTCTGGTGTGGGGAGGGCAGCCTCCCCCCATGAGACATACCAGGTAAAGCCTTTGTAATTGCCTATGGCCAGGCCTCAAAAATCACACATATATTTTTGGCCAGTAGTCAGGGTCTCTACCAATACAGTGGTGACTCTGGGTCTCAGAGCTCAGATCCTCGGGGGGCTGAGGTGAGCCATGAGAAGCCCCATCAGTCCTCAGTCCTGATAGTCAGGCTTCTTCCAACAATTTCTGCTTGTATTGCACAACTCGTTACCAAATCCAAAGGCTGCTTTTCTGCCTTGCCTCCCACAACCTCTCTGAAACAGTTTTTGCTGTTGACCATTCATCAACCTTGACATCTTTCCCCACTGTCCTTGCCTATGGCGTCCTCATTCCCACCTCTAGTTAGTGAACTCTAAGAGGGTAGGGGGGTGGGTATCATCTGGATCCCCCAGCAGTGCTCAGTAAACTTTGTTGAATGGAGCCTGTTATGGATTGAATTATGTCCACCAAAAAGATACATTGAAGTTTTAATCTCTGGTACCTGTTAGCATGTCATTTTTTGAAAATAGGGTCTTTGAAGATGTTATCAGTGAAGTTAACATGAGGTCATACAGGAATAAAGTGGATCCTAATCCAAGAATGAGGGTTACCTGGGTGTCACAAACAGTTAAGCACTTGGCAACTAACCAAAAGTTTGGCGATTCAAATCCGCCCAGAGGTGCCTTAGAAGAAAGACCTGGCAATCTAATTGTAAAAGATCAAAGCCATTCAAAACTCTATAAAGTACAGTTCTACTCTGAAACAGATGAGGTGGCCATGAATCAAACTGACTTGAGGGCAACTGGTAATCCAATATGAGTGGTGTCCTATAAAAGAGAAGAAACACAGAGGGAGAATACCATGTGATTCAGCAGCTGCAAGCCAAGAAAAACCAGACTTGCAGCTGCAGAAGCTGGAAGAGACAAGATATGATCTTCCTCTAGAGCCTTTGGAGGGAACGTGACCACACAACACCCTGAATTTGAACTTCTAGCTTCCAGAATTGTGAAAGAATAAATTTCTGTTCTTACAAGCCACCCAATCTGTGGTACTTGGTTACGGTGGCCCTAGGGAACGAATACACCAGAGGATCGCTCCTCCCTGATTTCCTCCCTTCCAGGTGGTCCCAGTCCCTCTGAGTCATCTGCTTTCCTGGCCTGAGGCCCAGATCCAGTTCCTGTCTACTGAGGCCCCTATGCACAGCTGAGTTATTCCT